TTTAGACCTTAAACATTTCCTTAGATAAACTTAAGCTTTTGTTTCTCAACCTTTATAAACTGTACATCTCTTTTCTGAATTTCTTTTTTTAAATTGGTAACAAGGAAAACTGTGAAACTATAACTATCTAGTCTTCAACCCCATCAGAGATTTGAGAAGGATAAAATATTACCTGAATAAACAGGAAGTGCAGAGCAAGCAACTTCCAAAATTATACAAATGACAGAGATAGCTGGCTGCCTGGACAGTCATCCAAGGTTCCTCTGCACCGTTGGGGCATCCATCTTTGGCCTATAGGCCTAGAATATCTGACAGAGTTTACTGTGAAGCAGGAATTTTGAAGACTGGCCTACCTTGTCTTGGCAAAGTTCGGCAGTTAGCTTCCTTTCTGTCCTGCTTATCCAATTTGGACAGCACACTGTCAGCAGTTGAGGCAAAGGCAGTTTCTTGCCAGTGGCTAGGTTTGCCACATTTAAAGCAAACTCCATATGGAGGTTCTTCAATGCCCATCATCTTCTTTGAAGTAGACTGGTGCTGCCAGGAGCAGACATATCTCACCATCACGAAAAGTCTTATGTTACGAAAACATCTTAAATGCCATATTCTGTAGATCTCTGAAGTGTTTGAAGACCACCTATCCATCTAAAATATATCTGTTTGACCTTGAAAACATACCCAACATGACCACAAGTTTGTTATAGGCGACTAACTACTAACCTGCATTTCTTTTTCTTTTGAGACAAGTTTTCTGTTTAACAGCCCTAGCTCTCCTGGAACTCACTCTGTACATCAGGGTGGCCTTGAACTCAAGAGATCCGCCTGCCTCTGCCTCCCCAGTGCTGGGATTAAAGGCATGTGCCACCATCACCCAGCATAGCCTGCATTTCTTAATTATCCTAAACAGTTTGTAATAGTAGCTTTCAAAGACTAGAACTTTACATTACATTTTTAAATGAGTTGCATAGGTACAATACCTTAAACAAGAGTAGAAACATATATACAGTAAGTATGTTGTAACAAAAATAACCTTAAATTTGTATCAATATACAATTTATACCAATGTGAAATATTTGAGACTAGTAGTTGCTTTTTAGTTTAAAAACAGATTCAATAATCTACCATTTTATCCTATAATTGCTATATCCCCCCTTTTTCTTCTCATCCCTTATTCCCCCCCTTTTACTTTTCATCCCTTATCCCTTTTTTTCTTTTCATCCCTTATCCCCCCCCTTTTTTCTTTTCATCCCTTATCCCCCACCCCCCTTTCAACACTAGATAGGAGAAAGAAAGAGGGAAGAAAAAGAAATCCCTGAACCTAACCTCCTTTGCTTAGTTTCCTCCCTGACCATGACCAATTGCAACCAACCCCCCAAACGATGACAAATATGCATAACCCACTGACAAAACAAAACCACCCACCCCACCTCTCGGGAATGTGGTCGTTGTGTTCTTAAAATTGCTTCCTGCTGTCTGGGGGCGATGGCATCTTTAGGGGACCCGAGACAATTGAGATAATGGTCAAGCCCTTGGAGAGCTAGCTATATCATTTATTGCCCAGTCTCTGTGTGATGGGAAGGTGCAGGGCTAACTGAAGTCCTGGCTGGAGTAGTCTGTGAGGCTAGACCATCTCAGCTAGCAGCTCTGAAGTTGTCCTGGATGAAGATTCTTGAGGATATAACAATGGAGGCACTCTCAGAGGCTGGATCACTTGGGTTACTACTTGTCTTCTCTTCATTGGTGTTTGGTCCTTTTGTTCTAAAAACACAAACTTTTAAAGGTAACATTCATATTTGCATCAACACAAGTACGGAAATCATGGTACGCACAAATCAGCTAAATATGATTCCCTTCTCTATGTTTGAGCAGGTAAAAGGCATCTATCAATTTTATAAGTCCATTTGGACTGTATAATCAAACTGTACTATAAACCTCTATCCATGCCATATGAAAGGATGGCATGTAATAGTAAGTCATGAGGACTCTGTAACCAACAAGGTTTATTTGTTTATTTATTTATTTGGTTTTTCGAGACAGGGTTTCTCTGTGTAGCTTTGTGCCTTTACTGGAACTCACTTGGTAGCCCAGGCTGGCCTTGAACTCACAGAGATCCGCCTGGTACTGCCTGCCGAGTGTGCCACCACCGACTGACTGGCGAGGTTTATTATGTCCCATCCAACCTAAGAGCTGTCCCCATGTCTAGGGATCAGCATATACGTCACCTGTTTTATAATTTTTCTTGGTTTCTTCCTTCATGTCTGCAGCCAAGATTTTCAGAAGGTCTTTCCCGGTCAAATATGATCTTTACTAATTTTGAAGGAATCCATAGCTTTTCGTTTCCTGTGGAAACAAAGACATAACCTCTCCCCCAAGCAACACATTTCCTGACTTCCATTCTGAGGTTAGGACATCCTTAAAATATATGCTGGTTTAATTCAGCAGTTTTTTCCACAACCCATTATCTCTCAGCAGCTGTTGTTTTTTGCTCATTAGCATTTAAAAAATTTAGGGGCAGTGGTAGCGCACGCCTTTAATCCCAGCACTCGGGAGGCAGAGCCAGGGGGATCTTTGTGAGTTCGAGGCCAGCCTGGGCTACCAAGTGAGCTCCAGGCAAAGCTACACAGAGAAACCCTGTCT